AGGACAACCAGGGTACGATTGCTTTAGCAAAGAACCCCGTCAGCAGGCAGAGATGCAAACACATAGATATAAAATACCATTTGATACCAACTGATTTTATAAAATACCATTTTATAAGAGATGAGATTGATGATTCTGCTAACACCAATAAAATCCAATAAAAAGCAGGGTATCAGTGCGTAAAGAGGACGAGCAGCTCGCAGCGTGACCGTGCGCAAGCGCCATCTTACTCCCATCTGCAGATTAACAGGCATCTGCAGCGCTTGATGTCCTCCTGAAGAGCCAATGTAAATCAAGTGAGCTGAAGCAGAGACATAGAAAACATGTAGGACAGTGTGCCTGAGGACCAGGGTTGGGAAACACTGACTTCATCGTCACTGCAGAAGGAAAGACCACATGTTACACGGCCACTGGAGGGCATTCGCAATTCGCTCAAAGGTTACAAAATAGCCGTCCCTCTCTAAACACAGGCATGATTGAGATACACTTACTGAGATTAATTGCTGGTTTTGAAGCGAGTCCAGGCGGCGCCTCTGTTGTCACCTGTGGTTTTGGGTTTGCTTGGGCATAAAGTGCAAGTATACAGATGTGCACAGTGGTTTCTGCATAAAGACGTTTAATTTCCAATTCCAGATGGATCCGTTGTTTTCTTTCTTCAGTTTCAAGGTGGGCCAATTCTAGTTCCAGTAGCAACTCCCCCGACATCGGACCTACAGCTGCAGATCCGCTTGAGGGAAGAACAGGATTTCCCTCATCCTCTTTCCCGTCCATTGATGTCTCCTCTCCCTCAGATCCCTGTTCAGGATCTAGATCTGAAGCAGCAGGGTCAGGTTTGGAAGTAACAGCAGAGGAGGGTTGCAGCAGTCCACTTGTCAGCCAAGTAGTTCATAATCAAAGTGTGACCTAGACGATTGGATGCTTTGATCCAAAACCGTAGGTAGTTACACTTGAAGAGACCATAGCAGAGGCTTGTTCACAAGTTAACAATTTTATTAACAAGACACATCAAAACCCACAGATAAGATTTACTAAAAACAGATAGGGATCAAAGAAGTGCACTGAAACTCTAGAGAGAGAGAGAGAGGAGCTACGACAATGCTGGCCCTGGGAACGAACACACACACACACACACACACACACACACACACACACACACACACACACACACACACACACACACACACACACACACACGGCAGCGAAGCGGCATCTGGATGCCCTTGGATTGCACCGCATGTTCTTCTTGGCCTGTGTGTGTGTGTGTGTGTGTGTGTGTGTGTGTGTGTGTGTGTGTGTGTGTGTGTGTGTGTGTGTGTGTGTGTGTGTGTGTGTGTGTGTGTGTGTGTGTGTGTGTGTGTGTGGCTGGCTGGCTGGCTGGCTGGCTGGCTAGCTGCACTGCAAAGACTGTCGGAGCAGTCAACTGTTTAAAAGCACAAGCCGCTGTAGGGAACAACACAAAAGACAGTAATATAAAGGAGAACACCCAGTGCTCCCTTTAACTAAAGCTCATACACACGCCCACAGAAGTGAGTAAAACTCGACAAACCCCTACAGCGGATATACTAAATGAAGTTAACTACCCTCCCACAGACAGCATCAATGCTAACTACTAGCTTCACGGGACCTTCTGTCCTGCTCACGCTTCACAAAAAGGAAACGTTCAATTAAAAATACAACCTTTCTTTAAAACAAAGCAAGGCCAGGTCATTCACAACTTAGCTGCACCCACGTCTGTACACAGAGACATTCCCCTAATTATAGCGGCCTCGTGATGACACACCTGGCTCAGCGGCACTGCACTTGTTTTTTAAACAAACTTTATTAGTGAAACTGGGTTTCTTACATAGCATCGAAGTAAAGCACAACAAAACAAGCAAACAAGCAAAGGGGCCAAAGTGATAAAACTGTGTTCAAAAGATAAGAATACAGAGCACAATCAAATATTACAAGGAATAGAGAGGGGGAAATGTGTTACCGATGTTACAAGATGTAGTCTTCAAGTAAGTTCCAAGTTTTAATAGCTTTAAAATTCTCTGAGTTTTTAATAGAATCAGCATATTTTTTAAATTTCACAGATGAAGACAGGTAAACAAGGACTGACATGGGTATATTTACACTTATGAGTGTAACTGTCACGGGTTGTTTTTATTCTCACAATCGATGTTTTTAGGTCTAAGAGTCTGCAGGTGGGCGTGTCTGGTGAGCAGGAGCAACAGCCAGCTGCAGCTCATCTCCAATTATCCTCCAGGGTGTATTTAAGGAGCTGACTTCCTCAACACTCTTGCCGGATGATTACACAACCTGGGTAGTTCGAGCCAGAATAAAAATCTATTGTTAAGCTAAAGATTAAAACTTAGACTAAGAAATGTTTTTGTGAAGCAGCTTTCTACCAGACTAGGACCAAGATTAATCCTTCCTCTTATCCCTTCAAGGAACCATCTCCTCCAGCCATTTCCAAGAACTTTTCATCAGCTCCACTTCATTCAGCTCCAACCCCTGGCTGTACGCTCTCCACTACGCCCCTACCGCCTACCCTTTCAAGCTCACCACACAAGAACCCTGGACCTCGTCTTCATCAGGACCCCTTTACAACCCATCTTCATAAACCAACCTGTGCTCCTTCGTATGCCCTCTAGCCACCTCCTGACAGTAAGCCTAAACCTTCAGTTATCCATCCCATCATCTCTCACGGATATTAACCTTTGTCTCTCTTTTAGAACATCCTGGTACATCCTGCATCAGTTTGAGCAGCGCTTTGAGTTCTCCAGTTTAAAATAAATTATTTGTTTTCTTACCTCCCTCTTCCCGTCTCTGATTCTGCATGTCGTGGGTCAAAAGAATACCACAGAACATGACAGTAATATGTAGCTAAAATAAAAATTAGGTTCGGTATGTAGTTTCTATTACTCTCTTTGTCTTCAAAAAATCCAAAAATAACATGTTTCAAACAGAAGAGACATCAGGAAGAACCTTTAGCTGCAGAAGATCTAAGACATCAGACCAAAAATTTAGAAGTATTTGTACAGGTCCAGAATAGGTGTGTAATGGTTTCAGGATGATTGTTACAGAAAGAACAGCAGGTGTCAATGTCCTTTTTAAATCTTTGGGAAATAAAATGTTTAACAGGGTAACAGTTATGTAATATTTTGAAAGAAACTTCTCTAATTTCATTAGTTAAAATATGTCTATGGGGTAAAAGCCAAACTTTATTCCTTGGAATATTATTTACAATAGGGTTCCAAAATGAAATAATATAGGGAGAGGAGATGGAAAGCTGTTGAAAAAGCCCTCTGATGGATTTATTGCGTAATTTATTTGGAGAAAAGCAAATTTTACCAACATATGTTTGAGAGAGGTCAGTATAAGTCACCAAACCATCCAAAAAAGAGGATCCTGCTAGCAGCATTTGGATACCAGAAGGGATTGCATTTATCACAATCGTGAACTCCCTAGGAGAAACCACTACAGGATACTTTTCTGTAGATTCAGAAAAAATGTAAAATTGACCATTGGGTTTTACTAACTGGTTAACAAGAAAAGCATTATTATCAAACCAGTTTTTAATAAACAGACTTTTTTTCTTGTGAGTGATATACTTATTGTTCCAAACATAACAAGTATGTGGTGAGAAATTGTGCTTAAAAATGAGGGACCATGCAAGCAACATCTGCTTGTGAAAGTTTGAGAGCTTTACGGGGATTTTAAGAATATAATAATTACTAATCAAAAAAAATTTTAGACCACCTAGTTTAGAGAAAATGAAAGAGGGGATGGTGTTCCATGTAGAAGACGGATTAGGTAAAACATTTTTGATCCAGTTCATTTTGAAAGTATCACTGAGAGTTGAGAAGTCTATAAAATTTAAACCTCCATGATTTGCTGAATTGATTAAAACAGATTTTTTTTAATATAATGAACTTTCCTTTTCCAAACAAAGTCCAATTATTATCCACATACAGAGACTGGGCAGCATTTGAAAGCCTGGAGAGACCTTCAGCTTTAGAGAGAAGGATTCTACCTTTCAATGATAAATCTAATAATTCAAATTGCTAACACTAGCATACAAAGTCTGAGATGGTATGGCTCCCATCTACCTGAATCCTCTTGCAAAGGCTTACGTCTCGGCCCGGCCGCTCCGGTCATCACAGGATCGCCGGCTATCAGTGCCTACACCACGCTCAGGACAATCCAGACTCTTCTCATGCATCGTTCCACAAATGTGGAATGACCTTACAAGCACTACCAGAACAGGGGCTTCCTTTTCAATTTTCAAGAAACTCCTGAAGACCCTGCTCTTCAGAGAGCATCTTCTAAACTAGCACCCTCCCTGCACCCGTCCCCCCCTCTCTACTGTCCACTCCTTGTTCCCTCCTCTCCATGATTGATGTCAAGTTGTTGTTATTGTTGTTGTTAGCCTCAAGGGCAACATGCCGATTATCACTTGTAAGTCACTTTGCTTTGGACAGTAAAACACCCAACCACACACAAAATGTCAGTGATCAGAACACTGCCAAGCTACGATAATTACAAAAGAACAAGACATTGGAAAAGAAGATCAACACATATAAAGAGCTCTGAAAACCTGTGGATATCCAGCGTAATAAATGTAATACTACACAAACTCTGTAACATACACAGAGGAAATAGGATGACAACTTAACACATGAAAAATGGAACATACAAAGAAATGTGAAAGGAAGCAAGCAGAAAACACACGAGAGCTGCAAAGCAAGATGCAGAGAACAATAAAGTAATCAGCCATAACAGACCCCCGTACAAGAGAAAATCAGTTAGTGGACTGGGACGACACGTGTATCATCCACAAAAACAGAAGATGGATTAAGGAGGCTGTGACCCATGGATCACGAACAGGGACCATGGAGTCTATCATTAGCTATTTTCCCAGAAATGACATTTCCTGTAATAGCTATGTTAATTATAAACTGGAGTGCACAAAGGTCACACACAAAGGTGTTGCAGTGTCTAAATCGAAAGTAAAACCCCCTCAGCTTGCAACAGAATTCTCCTTTAGAATGCCTTCCTCCCTTTTCGTCTCTACTTTACTATGATTGAGGAAACTTTGCACCCATAAATACTCGTCTGATAATTGATTCTGAATTTAAAATTATTGCATAAACTCATCCTTAAACCTTCAGTTTGGTGGACTGACATCACTGGAGTACAAAGGCAACATGGGTAGGTCCATTTGCAGCTTTAAATCACTTCTTCATTTATTTAAATGTTCTGCTTATTTGCTTTGTTTTATGAAAGCTGCGGGTTAAATCAAACATATTATATATATTTAATCAACATTTTAAGGTTGACAAAGAGGTCTGTTTGAGTCTTTTGTTGTAGCTTTTATTTCTAATTCAACGTCTCATGTTGCAGCACAGATTATTCTTTTATGGTGTTTGATTGAGCCTCTCCGCTCCAAGTAAGTCCTTAAAAGTAAATGATGGAATTTTTAAAACAGAAACGAACCAAAATTCTACGTTTCTGAAGCCAGTAACTGAGAGGGAGATTACTGATATTGTTGGTTATTGTGAGAGTAGATATGTTACTGATGAAGAAAGTTAGAGATATGAATGTTGTACCATCTGTTTCTACATTCACCATTTTATATGTAATCTGTTCTTCCCAACTACTTTGTTACATTAAAACTGTAAAAAGTAATTCCACTATACAAAAATGTAGACGGTGAATGATTTACACATTACAAGCCAATACTATTATTACCTAGGCTGGATATCTAAACCAACCATAGCAGTAGCAAAAGACTTTACTCTGCAGGTTGGTCTAGCCACGCTAACCTCAGCAGGTCTACTATTGGTCTGATCAGTTTTTTTGTCTTCCCAGTCAAGGTCCTCCACATTTGTTAGGAGGGCTTAACAATAGAGCTGCCATTTAAAAACATAAAATAAACAATAATTACAAATATGGGTCTCAAGAATGGTGCTTGTTCGAAACTGCGTTGGCATCAACTTTGGACTTTTAGACCTGGGCCCGCATTTATCAACTGTGCTTATGAACACATCTGTGCGTATGTCATGCATAGGAACGATTTTACGCATTGTGTGGTATTTACCAATTTGTACTAGTGTAGAAATGTATATATGAACAACAGACCATGCTAGGAAGGAGGGAACTACACTAAATGACTCAGTCCTCCACACATGTTCCCCGTCCATAAAGTATTTTGCTCAATAAATAACTATTTGGGTGGAAAACAGCTGTGTAACATTATTGGTGCTGGCAGTCCAAGCAGAATGCAGGTCAGGTGGCTGTGAAGGCAAAAACCCAGGCATGGGAGGAGTTCGGTGAGACCATGGAGACTTCCGCACAGCTTCGAGGAAATTCTGGTCCTCCATCCGGCGTCTCAGGAGGGGAAAGCAGTGCACTACCAACGCTGTTTATAGGGGGGACGGTGTGCTGCTGACCTCGAATTGGGATGTTGTGGATTGGTGGCTGGAGTACTTTGAAGACCTCCTCAATCCCACTGGCATGTCTTTCAATGAGGAAGTGGAGCCTGGGGACTTTGGATTGGACTCTCCAATCTCTGGGGCTGGGATCAATGAGGTTGTCAAAAAGCTTCTTGGTGGCAAGGCCCCAAGGGTGGATGAGATCTGCCTGGAGGTGCTTAAGTCTCTGGATGTTATAGGTCTGTGTTGGCTAACGAGGCTCTGCAATATCGCGTGGACATTGGTGGCAGTACAACTCGACTGACGGACTGGGGTTGTGTTCCAACTATTTACAAAGAGGGACCACAGAGTGTGTTCCAACTACTGGGGATCACTGGGGAGGTCCTGGAGGGTGCTTGAGATTTAGCCCAACCAATCTACATTTGTTTTGTGGATTTGAAGGAGTTCGACCACTTCCCTCGGGGGGCCCTGTAGACTTAGGCTGGTGCCCCCGTGACCTGACTCCAGATAAGCGGAAGAGAATGGATGGATATAACTAAGTATCATCAGTATAACAGAGGAGGTTTATTCAACGCTATCAACTGATTTTAGCAATTTGAAGCATATATCTATATATCTATATAGATATAGATAGTGAAAAGTATTTTTCCAAGCACTGAACCCTTTGGTACTCCACAAGTAACCCTAGACGCGCTGACGTCATTAGGTCCGTTTTAGGGGGGCTTCAGCCCCCCTAAAATAATCACAAGCCCCCCTATCATTTTGATTTATTTTATTTTTTCAGTTAACTTTTTTTTATTTGTTCACATCTACATGCTCAACACAATCACGACACGTGTAGTTGGTACATGAGTTTTTTTTTAGTCTGAAACAGAAATAATAATGAATATAGAACTACACCGTCGCACACAGGAAGTATCAAGAAAGGACTTCCTCCCCTTAAGCCCGGCAGCTTTGTTGACAAGTCAGGGGGCGGGGTTATACAGCAAAACCTTTATATCGATGAGCAAATCCTGCTCAGCGCTCTTGTAAGTCACTCAACATCACATTAGGGTAAGACAGCAACAGCAGCACACCGTTAATATTTCAAGGTTATAGTTCAGACGAGAGAGGAAAATGCTACCGCACCGACATGCTAATGCTAACTCCGCTAGCATGTTTACATGCCGCAAACCATAATGAAAAGCCGCGCCATAGTTAAATGGTCGGAAAACTCCCCTGAAGTGACGTGATTAACGAGCCAGCCAGTTCATTGAGTGACTTAGTGCCACCAACTTGAGCGTACAGTAATGAGTCTGCACAAACAGAACCTGCTCTGCGCTTGTGTGCAGCAGCTGCAGCCCTCTGTGGGCTCAACTCTATCTCTGCGATGCAAATCTCTCCCTGCTCTCCTCAACAAGTAATCTCTCCTCCAACAGTCAATCACAGACAGCTCTGTTTTATCCAGTCAAAGCATGTCCAGGAAATACTGCTTTACAGAAAAACACCCATTTAACAGCTAATTGAACTGCTTTCTGCTGCTGGTTAGCTACCAGTCACCATCCACTGCCTGCAAGATACTTTGTTGTAATTCATGTATCATGATTAGAGTGACCATATTTGACTTCCAGAAAAGACACATTGCCCATTCCTAAAACTGTTAAATTGCACTATTTTCAGTTAAAGAGGACTTTTAATTTCAACATATAAAGTGTTTCTTCTCTGTTTGGTTAGACATAAATGATCCCTTGGTGTGTGAAAGGAAGTGAACAGTGGAAATGTCCCAGGAAAAGAGGAGGGTTAATCAACCTAATTAAATATAATTATATAAAGTCCTCTTTATCTGAAAAAAGTGCAATTTTCCTGGCAGTATTTCCTGGACATGCTTTGATTGCATAATGGAGAGCTGTCTGATTGGCTGACGGAGAGGCTACATTGCTTTGTAAATTGCAAATTGAGCAACAACAGGGAGATTTGTGCAGGCAGAGACGGAGTTGAGCATGCAGAGAGAGGGCCGCATATGACTGCAGAGCAGGTGTTGCTCTTGCAGATTGATCACTGCACACTCCAGTTGGTGGCACAAAAATCACTCCACACTAAAAACCTGAATCAGAATCTGGCCGAATGTGTATATTATTGACCATTTTTCTATATTATATATTATTTCTATAATATATATATAATATATTATAGGTACATATATGTATCTATAATATAGTAAACAGCCAGTTTTATATATGTCACATATATTCAAAAGCTACATCAAAACATATATTAAAACCTATGTGTTTATGACTTCTTTCCATGTGGGTTGTCAGTTGCTTAATATTTCCTATGTTTACCTATGGTAAAGAAAGGAGATATTGTACTCATCTAACTTTAACATAAATTTTGGCAGCTTAATGTGACATTATGGAAAATGCCATCATCATGAGCAACCAAACATAGGCTATATTAGGCTAACAGTTGTCCATATTCTGTACCATCTATCCACCAATGGCTGTTTCAATTATTGTGAGTGAAAACTAAATGGCATAGCAGCATCTGTCTTGGCATTAGAAATTGAAAATGTTTTTCAATGTGTTGGCTAGATGGATATACGAAGATTTTTTTAAGAGAGTGAGTGAGGAACAGGAGAGAGACCAGGTGGTTGATGCTGAGGAGATCTGCATGGTCAAGGTCAGTGATCTACAGCGAAAACAGGGGCGAGCGCATCGTTATGAGCATTTACCTGAGCACAAAGTTCCCAAGCAAAATTGAACAGTTTTCTATTTAGGAGTGAACAGGTAAGAGAACTTGAGAAAAAAAACTATAATTATCATGTGACCTGCAACCTTATGTCAAGTTGTATCTGTATAGTTGACTTTCTGTATTATAAGTTCTACTACTTGCTGGATATTTTCATATATACTGTTATTTTGTCTTGTAATAGTTAATTATATACTCCTTTATTCCATATCATAGCAGTGTTATTCATATATTAAAACTGTGAACTGCACACTCATTTGGCAGAATAAAAGTTTGACAATTATTCATTTGTTCTTTATTGTCATATTTCAGTAACAGTTATAATTAAACAAGTTGTAATTAAACAAATTAAATAAATGACTACAACATTTCCCCCTGTTAAGTGCAGTAGACTGAAATGAATAGCTTTATTTGGAAATATAACATATCAAATTTTTAATGGACTTACATAAAATCTTTCTTCAACATAGACCCCACTAATTAACTGATTAAGTGTTATTTTTTATAAAAAGAAGAGAGAAAATGCACAAAAATAGGAAAGGAAAGTGATAAAATAATAGGTTTTGTTAGATTTTCTTCAGATAATGAATTAATTGACAAAGTTTTTGCAGGGTGTGACAAAAAACGTTCGAGGTCAAGCTCCTGGGGCTAAGCCCCCCCTATATCTCAATCCTAGTGACATCCATGCCTAGACGTATTAAGAAGATTTCTCATGCACACAAATAAACTAAGATCTGTTAGACAGAAAGGATTTAAACCAGTTTTGTTTCTTTGATTCCTATGACATGTTCATGCCTTACTAAGAGAATATAATGATTTATTCCAGGTTTGAAGAGTGTAGGAATAGTAGTTTTATTATTAAAGCTGATTGAAGATGCTCAGGAAATGGAAATGTATTTTAGAATTGCCCTGTCCAAGTCGGAAACCTAAAAAAGGGAACGAAATTCAGCTTCATAAATTTAAATTGCATAATAAATTCATAATTGAACATGGTGTTTTGTGGGCTGACATTACCAGACTACAAAAGCCACATGGGTAGGTCCCAAGTTCAATTTAGCTTTCAAGTCATATCCATCAACCGATTAGATTTTGCTCTCCTTCCATTGTGTTTTTTTATAAAGTTGCAGGTTAAATAGACTATGTTCACATATTCAATCAACATGGTAGTTTAAACACAAGTTTATCACAGTTGTAGCTTTCATTTCTAACTTAAAGTCTCACCTTACAGGATGGATGAACCATCTGTGGTGTTTGATGCTTTTTGTTTCATCAAGCCTCTCTGCTTCTGGTAAGTTTTAAAAAAAACCTCTATCATGCAATGATATCTGTTCAAATAGTGACTTTTATTAAATAATCACATTTAATAGCCCATTTATGTATGTTTCTTTATGCTCCTGTGTAATTTATTTAACCCTTAGCCTTGTCATTTTTGTCACTCAAAGTGGCAATAGAATGCTGTTTATTTACAATTGAAAATTGCTCTTTGAGCTTCTATAAAGAATAAGAAACTGTATAATGTCTAATTATGAAAGCATTAAAATTGATATAACATCATAAAAATGGGGAAACCACAATAAGATTATATAAAAGACAAGCAAGAAAAGAGGCTAACAAGCAAGCAGTGACTGTGAGCCAACTGGATCTCATGCAAAAGTCCACTGATCTCAGGCTCAGGGGGAGAGAGTTCCAGAGTCTGGGGGCCACAGCAGCAAATGATCTGTCACCTTTGGTCTTTAGCCTGGTGCTGCACAACCAGTAGTCTTTGATCACTGGACCTCAGGGACCTGCTGGGGGTGTAGGGACTGAGAAGATCACCAATGTATGATGGTGCTTGTCCATGTAAGACCCTGAAGACCAGAACCAGGATCTTGAAATGAACCCTGAAGCTGACTGGCAGCCAGTGAAGCTGGAGGAGAAGCGGGGTGATGTGGGTGTGTTTGGAGGACTTGGTCAGAAGCCGAGCACAGGCATTCTGAACCACCTGTAGACGGTTCAGGAAGGTTCTGCTCAGACACGTGAAAAGAGAGTTACAGTAGTCTACGCGTGAGGAGATGAAGGTGTGGATAACCGTCTCAAGTTCAGAGTGGGACAGAATGGGACTCAGCTTAGCAATGTTCCTGAGATGGAAGAAGGAAGAGTGAACAAGAGAACTGACATGAGAATCCAGGGTGAGAGCTGGGTCAAAGGTCACACCAAGATTCCTGACAGAGGGTTTGGTGTGAGAAGCAAGCTGACCAAGAGAGGCTCTGACTTTGGGAACCAGCTTGTCTGGGGCACAGATGAGGATCTCAGTCTTATCTTCATTCAGCTGAAGAAAGCTCCCAGCCATCCAGGTTTTAATAGAGTCTAAGCAGGTGTGTAACAGCTGCAGCTTAGACATCTCATGGGGCTTAAAGGAGATGTACAGTTGGATGTCATCTGCATAAAGATGGTAGGAGATTCCTTTGAAGGAGCTCAGGATGTGCTGAAGAGAAAGCAGATAAAGGAGGAAAAGTAGAGACCCCAGCACAGAACCTTGTAGGACACCATTGGTGAGGGAGGTGGTGGAGGACTGAAACGTGAAGACAGCCACAGTGAAGGAACGCATGAACAGATAAGAGAAGAACAACTCCAGTGCAATTCCTGATAGGCCTGTCCAGTCTCTCAGCCATAGGTAATGGACAACAGTGTCAAAGGCTGCAGTCAGGTGCTTTCAATGAAGACTCTAATAGATCTTTACCAACAGCATTAATGTAGTCACATTGTTAGAGAATAGTCTTGGTCATAAAATGTACTGAAAGCAAAATGTGGGATAACCTGTCCAATATCTTCAAGCCTTTGAGTCTAAGCTCTTTCAGCAGCAGCATCTGTACAAAGAATGCCTCCACATTTGTGTCAGAGTAGGGCAATGTGACAGCCTGTTGGTGTATCGAGGGAGGGGTTAAATTGAAAGAAAAATACAAGCTGTTCAGTGATCAGTGCGCGCGCGCACACACACACACACACACTTGTAAGGAGGACGTATGTTTAATTTCTGTGGCTGAATCTATAAAAACATCAAAAGTAACACAGTTTGACTAAAATTTGTCATTTTACAATGAACACCAAATCACTAGAAAACTAAACTAATCATCATTTACTTTTCAGTTTCAGAGAACTTTGCAGTTATGGGCGGGAAGTCCATCTTGGTGGAGCAGAACCAAACAGCCACTTTACCCTGCTGGCTCAGCCCCCCCCCCCCCCCCCGAGTGCTGAGGATCAAGAGGTCCATTGGTATTTTGGCTATGACCATTATGATACCCTCGTCATGCTTTACAGGGCAAAGATGTTTGATCATGGATCCCAGAGTGCTTCATATGTTGGCCGAGTCTCATTTGGTTTAAAAGACGCAACATCTGGTGGGCTGAAGGCAGGTGATGTGAGTCTGAAGCTGGTAAACGTCACGATTCAGGATGCAGGGGTCTACACCTGCTTTGTCAGCAGCTTAAATGCCTACAGGGGCTCAACCGTGGCTCTCAGTGTGACAGGTGAGTTTAATAAACGCACCAAATCTATCAGGGTAGCTCATCTCATCACATGATTATTCTGCTTCTATCACAGAAACAGGAAGTCCTCCTCTTCTGACAGCAGTGTGGAAAGAGGCTAACATGGTGGAAGTGAGCTGTGAATCTGAGGGCTGGTATCCACAGCCTGAGCTGCTCTGGTCACACAAGAATAAAGCTCTGACCTCCAGTAATGTGAAATATGACAGAGACTCTACTGGTCTTTACTCAGTCCACAGTTGGGTTCTTGTCTCCAACTCGTCTGAAATCTCCTGCTCTGTTGGTGTTGCTAATCAAGTGACCAGAGAGGCTGTGTTGCTGCCAAGAAATAATCTAAAAGCACTAGGAGAAGGTAAAGAATGGTAACTTCATCTGAGTCTGTTGTAGTTTATTATTTTCAGTGTTAAATAACATGCAAAATTTTTTTTGTTTTGTTTTCTTTCAGCGTCAGAACCTTCCTCAGATGGATGGGTGGCTTTTGGGATACTCGTGGTGGTGGTGGTGGTGGTATTAGCTGCAGCTGGAGCTGTGTACTTCAGAAAGAGATGTAAATATTTAATCCAGATGAGAACATTTTACTCCTGAATCTGTTGACTTTGTAAAAATGAGTACAGACTGGTTTAGAAACCAATTCATGTTTTTGTTTCAGTCAAGAAGTCTGAATCAGAAGGTGACCAACCTGATGGTAGGACACATGAAACTGTTTATTACTCTGTTGTAATACTTAAGTATAAAGAAGTACTCAGTTACATTTGGTTCAGTGACATCATGATCTGTTACAGGAAGTGCAGATATGATAGGGTCAGAGGCGGAAAATCGCGCCTACTCCTCTCAACAGGATCGTGTTTTTGAAGCATGAAATAAATAATCACAACTAAACATTTTGTCATGTTCTGTGCTCCCTCCAGGTTTTCCTCATGTTCTCTTAGTCTCTCCACTGTAGTTTTCTATAGGTTTATGATTTCAGTTCTTTAGTCTCCTTTAGTGTGTTCCCTTCCCCACTTCAGATCATTCGTTTACTTATTAGTTTCCCCGGAGTCTTTGTTTCTACAGTGTTTAAAGTTCAGGTTATTTTAGTAGCTTTGGTTTAGGATTAAGGCCTAGTCCACACGTAGCTGGGTTTTTTAAAAAAAGAATATCCGCCCCTCCAAAAACTTGCATCCACACCACCTCGTTTCAAAACAAAAACTCTGCCCACACGTACCCGGATAAATACGTTGTTAAGGACCTGCCAGACCTGTAGCCGGCAGTACTTCCCCCGTTCTTAACCTCGTCCTTCGTCTGTGGTCTTCCGCAAGGAGCAGTAATTCCGCTTGCAAAAACAAACAGGCAAACAGTGCTTGGACAATTGATAAAGCGAGCGCAGCTCTGAGGGCATCCATGCTGTCGGCTAGTGTAAACACAGGTCGCACACGTGATGTCAGCATTTTTTGTCGTGGAAAGTGACGTTGCGGACCTTAAAACTCCGGTTTTGTCTGTCCACACGCAGACACCCAAAACAGAGAAAACGCAGATCTTCACTTTGGCCGGAGTTTTTAAAAAGATCCGTTTTCGTGTGGATGACAGGCCAAAACGTAGAAAAATATCTACTTTTTGGCAGATCCCCGGCTACGTGTGGACAGGGCCTTAGTCTCTCCACTGTAGTTTTCTATAGGTTTATGATTTCAGTTCTTTAGTCTGCTTTAGTGTGTTCCCTTCCCCACTTCAGATCATTCGTTTACTTATTAGTTTCCCTGGTGTCTTTGTTTCTGCAGTGTTTAAAGTTCAGGTTATTTTAGTAGCTTTGGTTTAGGATATGGGTTTCTCCCCTGCTTACTTCTGCTTCTTCCCTCAGTTCATTAGTTTCACCTGTACCCAATTCCCCACGCACTTGCTCCTTATCTCCTATCACCCAGCCCTGTGTATATAACCCTGTCTGTGTTTCTCAGTGTTTGTCGGTCCATTGTCTTGTGTCAGCGTTGCTTTGTCCTCTACAGACCTATAGGTCCTGGCTATGAGTGAGCTTATGTTATTGTCTCTAGTACTTTAGACTTTTGGCTTAGAGTCCTGCACTTTTGTTTCTTCCTAATAAAAGCATTTTCATTTTATCTAACCTCTCCGGCCTTGAGTTTTGTGGTGTTCTGCATTATGGGTCCAATCCTCCTGTGCTCGCAGCGTGACACGTTTATGAAAAATTTATATTTGAATAAGTTAAGAAGTATGTAAATAAACAAAATCGACACCTTAGTTTTCAGTGGTTGTTTTCCTATTTTCAATCTGCATCTTTAAACCACATAATGAAGTTTACTGAACAACTTTGTCGTGTTTTTGTGTTTCAGGGCAGAAACTCTCTGAAGGTAAGACCAGAGCTTCATGCGAAGTTTTTCGGGTTTTTACTTTACGTTTCTGGGGTTTACGCCAAATGTCTGAGTTTAAATGGGAATATAGAAACATCTCCAAGTAGCATCACTCATATATTTTCAGTATTAGAACTAAAGATGGTTCTAGATGTAATATTCATGGTTTAAAAGCATCATTATGTCTTTTCCTCAGAGATGGAAGCACTCCTGCCAATAGGTACGCATACAAGGTACCAAACCAAACCTTTAGAGCAACCAGATGTTTAACTGCTGTGTTCTCCTCTTGCTCTGCTACAGGAAGGGTGGTACCAACAGCTCTGTTAGAGCCTTCCAAGCATTACGGTAATTTTTTATTTCATGGAAATCACTTTTTATTTTTTACTTTCATGATTCTGATCAGGTTTTCTTTCTGTAACAGTGAATGTTGAACTCATGGACACAAAAAACCCACACCTAACAATCAGAGGGTCTAGAGTAAGAGATGCTAAATGGTTTCCAGATGGAGACACTAGAGTTACCTGTCTCACAGCCATCAGAGGAACATGTGGATTCTCTACTGGACAACACTACTGGGAGGTTTCTCTAAAAGATAACCACTGTGAACCCAAACAGTCCTGGTGGATCGGAGTAACAAACAGACCTGAAATCCCTCAGGACAGCCGTTTGTCTCCTAACATATCTAATGGTTTCTGGTGCCTGTCTTCTTCTGGTCCAGGAGATACCATCCAGTGTAGCACTGACCCGGAGACGTCTCTTCATGTCCAGTCAAGACCAGAGACAGTTGGTGTTTATTTAGACTTTGACTCTGGAGAACTCTCCTTTTACAATGTGGAGGAGAAACAGCTAATTATATCGTTGGCAGTTAAGTTTAAAGAAGAAATCTTTCCATTTTTCAACCCTGGGAGAGGTGACCAGTCAGCTATGGAGATAATACAGAAGACAGAGCAGGTTGAGTGTAACGATGACGTCTGATCATCATTAGCAGATGAAGTAAAACTTGTTGTTTCTAATCATGGTGCGTTTTGCCCTGTACTCTTGTGTTTTTTCCATACAAAAAATTATAACATCCATTTCAGCCAGGAACCCTTATTGGTGTTAGGTTAGCACTATCTCACTCCACCAAGCAGATATTCACATCATTTTGTTCCTTCATCAATAGCCTCCTAAATCCTGTCATCTAAATAATGTCCACCTCTTCTTTGTCACCCAACTGGCTGGTGTTTGATGGCTGTGTTGTTTTTGCTTGTGTTTATTACTTTCACCTTCTTCTTCAGTTATACTCGGATACAAAAACAATCTTTAGAGGCTTTCCTTTGGTTAAAAAACACACAAAATCAGGGGGAGAGCCTTTATTACATGAAAAATAATACACTATAAAGCAGTGAGCCTCAACTGGCGGCCAGTGGGCCACATCCAGCCCGCCAGACCTTCCCACCTGGCCCCTCAAACCTTTGGGCGGCAAAAATCATGTCCCAAATATCAATAATTGTTTATGTTCTGTTGAGGGTCTGACCTCATGAGGAAATTACTATGCAGTGATTTTCTCCAAAATGACTGTGCTTAAATTGCTCTGAAAAGCAAATAATCACATCAGCGCCAAGAAACTTCATTTCCCATGATGCTTTGCACACGGAAGCATTGTGATGACGTCACCGCCTAGTACCAGAAACACGTTCTGCGCATGTGCGGGAAGCCGTGGACTTTTCCCGCGAACTAAGACCATAAATCTTCAGCAGAGACAAAGAAACCTTGTTCTTTTGCCCAGGATACCTGGCGGTGAGGACACGCTTGTCGAACGCTCCGACTTCTTTGAGCACGCGGAAGCTCTAAGAGCCAAGTTGAGCCCACGGGACCGCTGATCTGCTCGTTTCTGCTCCCCTCCAGCTGATGTTTGAGGACACAGAACTGCGGAGGGAAACAACAACTCCATCCAGCTCTCAGAAACGCTGTAAGTTGTCAAACTCAGCCCAAAAGGAACTTCGTTTTCTTTGTGTCCAGCCGTGGAGAAACACTCGTGGAGCCAAACAACGGAGAAAGCATCAAACCGGCGGATGACGCTGAAAGCTGCGGAGAAACACGGAGAACCGTCAAATCAAAACAGTGAGGGACGCTTCACTGTTCTGGTGATCAGAAACTCATCTCTTTCTCTCATTCTTTCCTTCTCCCGTTTCCTCTATAGTCTCGAATAAGCAATAAACCGCGTCTATTGCTTAAAAGTAGCTTCGTGTTTTCCTCTTTCGTCCCAAACACGTCCGTCGGGTCATTTTGAAGAATAAACTGCTTATTGATCATTGTTTGGTATCTTAAAATGGTTTCTGTCATGGCCAGGCTGAAACTAAAAGATATTAATTTGTGATTAATCTTTTGTGTTGTTTCATGATCTTTTGAAATGTTTTGAGTGATTTAAGGTTAAGTTACTACTGATTCTAAGTGCTTTGGAAGTTAAAGTGCAAGTTGCCACCCACACTTTAGCCAGACAAAGGGGTCAGCCATCTTGTATTCAAGACTCCATTTTGAATCCATACACACGCACACACACACACACACACACATACACACTACTCCTTTGTGAGAACAAAGGACCCCATTCATACATCCTCCATCACATGCAAACACATCCATCTTCAATCATATCACACGGTTATTATTCATCTATTCCACTGTTTATTCATTTGACAAATTGTTAATTAAATGTTATAAAATTCAGATTTTTGTGTCCAGTAGCTTTGTTGTGTCGAAGAGAAGTCTCTGCTCCAAGGATTCTACGAACTTCAAGAAAGACTGATAAGAGTTTTGGATTCAATTTTTCCCCGGAAAAAGGGGAATGGTGCCCCGTATATCTAAGAATATCTTAATTAATTAATAAATCAGTAAATATTCCCATATTTACAGAATTTATTGAAGAATCCAAAAGTAAGTTGAAGCTTACTAATTGTTCGCTCCTAATAACCCCAACATTTTATTGGTGCCCCGTGTGAGGCTTGGATACACAGAGATTTCTATCCGGCACAAACAAACAAATAAATCCAAAGAGCTTGAATTAAAAATAATCAGTTGTTCAGCCTTGAACCAGCAACAGAGTGGTGCTGATTTCGCTGAGCAGGAAGCTGCATCGAACTCTCACCAGTAACTCAGTGCTTCTTTAAAGGTGCAACGTGTAAATTAATTCTGGTTGACCTTTTAGGTTAAAAATTCAGTTTTCCTTAAAGGTGCAACGTGTAATTAATTCTGGCTAACCTTTTAGGTTAAAATTCAGCTTTTCCTTAAAGGTGCAACGTGTAATTAATTCTGGCTAACCTTTTAGGTTAAAATTCAGTTTTCCTTAAAGGTGCAACGTGTAATTAATTCTGGCTAACCTTTTAGGTTAAAATTCAGTTCCTCATTAAAGGTGCAGCGTGTAAGTAATTCTGACTAACCCTTTTAGGCTAAAATTAACTGCTAATTTAGCGACTTTAACTCACAGTGGCTATTGTAACTAACTGAAACCTTCACTCAAAGACTGATAACACCCTGTTTGCTAATATTCTGAAGGAATAACTAGCATATTTAACACTGCAAGTGTTGTAAGACGTTGCTACGGCAACGCACCAGCTTTTGCTAAAATACTGAAAGGAATAGTATTTTAAGCGTCAGTCACGGCATTCCGTGCAATCTTAAAACGCTAAAACCTGTGCGCACAAAGGTTAATTTAGTGTTTTTCTGCTACAAAGCTAGCAGTTGCTGCCCAAAAGGTGCAGCTTGAGCTATCTGCAGAAGCTCTACTAGGCTATTTTTGGTTCGGTTGTTAAAAATGGAGGGACAGAGTAGTGAACTGACCAACTCCCAGCAACCAGGTGGCGCTGCGGCCCACGACTATGAACCTGGCCTACTTTCTGGACAAATATTGTCCAAACTGGTCGCGGTTGCTCGAGAACCCGACTACCCTTCTAGGGATTTCACTGAAGAACAGCGTAGCGACGAGCTAGAAGCTGTAATTGATCAAATAGAAAACCCGGATGGTACAAAACCAATCCAGGTTCACTTAGCTAAGTTAGCCCTGATCCTCTATCAGAGAGGACTCCAACGTGGTCAGAAGATCATGAACCTCCAGAGTATGCTAGCTGAAAAACAGCGAAATGGAAGGCTGATCGAGGAAGACGACACCCGCACCGATTCTGGGGAAGATGGGGAGGAGACCCCGCCCCCTTCTGCTGATGACAACAGACAGTGGGAAGGGGGGAAACACCAGGACTCTCTGGACGGACGCACGCCGCAGGGGAGAGATGAAGCTCATCTGTTCCAACCTTCGGCCCCGTTCCCTACACACACTATAGGGCATTCAGGACCATCTAGGGGCCGAGGGCAGTTCGCCCTCGAACCCCAGGTTGGACCACCACCCTCATCTTCACGGCCTTCTCAATCAGTGAGAAGTCGACCAGCTGAGCGGCACCTCTATTTAGACCGCTCCCCCAGTCCACAAAGGGTGCAAGGTGCCGATTGGGGTTATGCACCCCAAGCTGCACCTCAACCATCCACCCATCCTAGCTACTCCGGTATTCGGCATGCCGATAACCAGCTGCAGGACAAAGCATCATACGCCAGTCCGTATCCGGACAAAGTGTATTACGCAGAAGCCCCAGTTGAAAGACGCAGGCTGCACTACGCAGACGTGCCCCGGGAGGAGGACCTCCCAAGACACCCACGTGACGTGCCAGCAGCCCGCCACAACATGCCGAACCCCGATTTGGGCCCCAGGAGTCAACATTGGGAGCCCAGAGCACACCAGCGATATCCAGCGCCCTCTGAGACAGACCGTGGGTCAGAGTCAGAGGATGACGCGCCGTACCGTGAGTCAGGGCTCCGTGTACGTCAAATTGAATCGCTAGCTAAAGACATAGAACGCTTTGATCCTAACACCAATGAATCCAATGTCGACGATTATCTCAGGGAGATAGAACGTTGTCTGCTTGATCTTCCAGCACCCTCTTCAAGGGAAAAGCTCAAGCTAATTTGGAAAACCACATCTAGAACGGTGCACGGTTTCATGGAAACTCTACCACCTGACATTCGTGATCGGTACTCCTCGCTCTGCCGAGCGTTGAGAGATGAATACGCCACGTATGCAGACTCTGCGTCAGCTACAATGGGGGCCTTCTCCATCAAACACGGGAGGAACGAACCCCCCAGAGAGTATTATCGCCGACTCAAAAGTGCTTACTTCCAAGGTCGAAACGGTCCTGGGCTCGAGGAAGACCCTGCCTTCAGATCCCTGTTCATTCACAACCTGCACGAGTGTGTTCGCTCCGAAGTCTCAATGTATTGTCGGATGAAAAAACTGACAACTCAGGAGATTAGGAGATACGCTCAACAGGCTTGGGAAGCCGGCGGAAAGCCCCAAAAGCCTGACGCACATCACCGCGTTATGCACCTAGCTCCCGACGCTGAGCCGCGTTTGGAGCTCGAAGGCACAGAAGCTCCACCCACTAAGCCAAAATCTGCTAAACCTAGACCTGTTAAACCGCGAGAGCAGTCCCAATCTCCTCAACAGGGGAAGGGGGGTGCTGATTGGCCGCCTAGGTCTGGACAATCAGACAGGAAGTGGCCCAACCAAAACCAACGGCAGGCAGGTCGGAACAGTGGAAGGTTTAAGGAGCGCCGCCCACAGGTAGGTCCCGAACACAAGTCCGCAGGTGAGTACTTGACCAAAGCCGACCTCCAGGAGATGTTTCAGCAGTTCCTAGCTAAACAGAAGGAACAGCTGAGATCTGCAGATGAGACCCCTGCACCAAAGTCTGCTTCTAAGAAGCCAGACCCAGAGCCAACGTCCGCATGACTAGGCGTGGCTCAACCCCCCAGCGTGGCCAGGACCTACCTGATCAGCTGGGGGAACACTACTGGTAGATCACAGGAGTCTCCTGAAATCTACCCCCCAGAGAAACCTGATGCTAAATTTCTGAAGTTCCTTGGTGACTTAACAAACCATGATCATGCTCGCCGTTTGTACTGTAGCACCAACGTAGGTGGATGCATACAGGTTGATGCTCTGCTGGATACTGGCTCAGAAATCACCCTGATATGCTCCACACTGTTCCATCGCTTGTCTGACACCATGCGGTCACTCGGGAAACCAGTCCAGGTAGAGCCCTGTGACCTGAAAATCACCAGCTACACCCAGACCTGGGAGTGTATCACTCACCGGGCGTGGCTGGATATCACCTTCCAAGACATGACTCTGGTTCACCCGTTTTATGTCTGCCAGCTAGACACTGAACCACTTCTCATTGGTCAGGACCTGCTTGAACGTCTAGCTCCCCTCATCGACTGCCAGAAGGGTCAACTGTGGGCCCAGGTGGACACACCTAAGCCCTGGAACCCAGATAGCAGCCGACCATCCTCCATTCTTGAGGTCAGCATAAGTGAGCCGCAAAACCCTTGTTCCAAGGTCATGCCCCTCCCTACGGCTCCCACAGACGATGACCGCCTGCAAAGGCATGAAACCGCTCCTGGAACTCCG